TGTGATAAAATTAGTAATTAGTCTGTGCGTTCTCAGTAATAACCATTAAACACAGAAAATGCCCGTCTTGAGATCTATATTTGATTTTCAACTATAACTTGCACAAAAGAAGTTTAATTTTTGTTTGTAAAAAATAATAATTATTTTTGAGTTTTTCATTATTAAGCAAAAATAATAGTTTTTGCACTTTAAAATAAAAAGCAGCATATATGTATTATATGTGCGTGCGAAAGTAAAAGACAAAGACAAAAGTTATTTAATTATTATTTTTTGAATTTTTATAATAATTTTATTTTCTAAAGCGAATATATATAAAGCATGTATTATATGAAGGATATGAAGTTGTAAGAATGATAACTGCATACTTAAATAAAAATTTAGATAATTCTTTGCAGCTACTTTTTTTCTTGAAAATGAAATTGAAAGAAACATTATTTTCGGTCTTTATATATATATAATATTAAAAATTTTTCTCTTAAAGACGCAATAAAAAAGTATATTAAATCTATATTAAATATTCTTTATCTAATTAACAAAATATATAATTTTTTTTACTTAAATTATTGATTAAACCAGTGGTTACATGCTTGAATCTTCCTTTATATGTATATAAAAGTACTTCCAATGAATACAAAACGTATTCTGTTAAAGAGTACGTTGGTTCAAGTAACCAAAAAATTAAAATATGTGAAATCAACTTATTTATCATGCATAATAATTTATCTATATATCTATAAACATTTGTATGTAAAGTTATGTCTGCGCAAGGCTGTTTTCCACATCAAACAGAAACTTTTCTGAATATTTTATGTATGCGAACATCGAATTTCGCGTAGAAATTAGCATAGAATCCTTTTAATTTTCAGAACAAATTAGCATATTTTAATACAACATGGGTTGGAAACTTATGAACTTGTAAAATGCGAACTGAACAATATTTTAAAATTGTTATTGTTTCAAAATGAAATTCACTTGTTGTGTGCGCTACAGAATATAATAAAACTTTTATTGATACACTTATACTTAGCAACAAATATTAATTCACTATATAATAATTATCATCTCTTCAGAATCCAATTAAAGCTAACTAAAAGTTATCTTCTAGTATTAATGGAACTCAATTAATGCAAGCTTCAATACAGGATTTTGTGGTTGTGCGGTGGGCTCTTCTATAGATGACTGAAAACTATATCGGTCTTAATATTTTTTTTTAATAATACCATTAAGTTAGATTTGAGATACTTAGGTAAGCTGGAAGTATCTGGAAGTATCAGTAGCTATGGCTATGATGCATTCAATGTGGTTTCGAAACTGTTCAAAACTGTACTTAGTACCAACAGCCAACAAAAAATGGGTTAGTATTTCTTCAACAAGTAGGTCAAAAACGAAATGACCTTATATACTCCAAATATAGATGCTTAATTCATAAAAGTAAACTAAAAGTATTTAAGATAATATTAATCCTGAACGAAACACTAGATTATAGGAGGGCATGAGAAACCAGGGAAGACTACGCTACTGATTATTTTGTAGTACATGTGCACTGATGAATCCAATGGATACGAAAGTGATGGGTTTAGTAAATATATGGAACTAGAAATGTGTTCGAATCTTGGCTTCTAACCTCTAAAAATTATTAAATATAAAACTTCAAATCTTGTGAAAACGCATAATTTTTAATAAATTTTATTTCCATCTTTACTGATAATGAGTTGTTTGAAAAAAAGAAAAAAGAATTATCATAATTTTAATCTTCTGCTTGTATTTATTATATGTAATTATGGCGAGCCATATTGACAATATCAGATTTGTTAATGTATTAAATCAAATGCACACTACATATTAACAGGATTCAAGTTTTCATCTCTTTCTCATTAAAAGTTGTAGATATATATACACATTATATTAGTGTCTACAATAGTATTTCAGTAAAGCACATTTGTGCTTGTTTTATACATTAAAATAAATCAATAAATCGTTTCAATTACATAAATAAGTAATATTCTAATCAAATGGTGTTGTTTACATGGGTTATTAATATATTATAAAGTACAAGTGGCTGAGATCAGTCGAAAGAATGTCTATAATTTCTTACTACAAGACTTGATATCCAAGTAAAATTATATCACGTATAATTTATATCACCGGAGTAGATACCGTATTAGAGAATATTAAATCTAAAGGTGTAATCCACAGTCATTAGAATTAATATTTTAGCTTGTTCAATAGTTTCAAGCAATTCGATAGACAATAGACTGTCAGTATTTTAATCTAATGCTTCTACTGCCGTCATAATATTTTATTTTGTAACAGAAGACCCTCTCCAATGCTATGTCTACTCATAAATAACAACTATAATAAAAAAAATAATATAAATTTATTATTTTTGATCTACTCTATTCTACATTTTTTTGAAGCCTTTCAATTAACATATGTCCCTTAATCTTACTTTCATTAGGAGAGTACATGCAAAGAATCTTTAAAATATCACCTACCAAATATTCTTTCAATTGAACCTTAATAACATTAAATTAAAAATTAAAAAAAAAATTTTAATTCATATTCAACACGTTCTTACGGATATACTTCCCTTTAATTCTTATCGTTACGAGTATGTACTCTAATCGTGCCACAACAAACTGCAAACTGAATATTCTTCTAAAAGGGTGTTCCATTAAAGTGAACTCCGGAGCTGGTCCCTTTTTCTGTCGGCGGAAATAACATAAGTTGAAGGAATAATGATAAGCAACGTAAGCAAATGTGTTGCAAGTTTGTATGAACTGTGTTTCTTCGCTAAAAGTTCGTAATGAAAAATCTGTTAACTGCAAAAAGGTTCAAAGGAAAAACTTAACAAAGATAAAGTGGTGACGAAAGGATTCTCGCAAGAAGTTATCTCTATGACAATAATTGACGACACATTGTATACCTTTTCAAGTCTCTTCTCCCTTGCTACCCGAAAAGACCAACATGAAAAATATACAATAACAACAATAACAACAGCCAGCACCAATGATGTTAATAAACACACACAACAGCCGGCTTAAGCGTATGCCGGTTACAAACATACAAACGTACAAACGTTCAAATGAATGTGCAAGAAAGACAAGCAAGCTAACAAGGACAATTGTTGGTAATGCAGTTATGTAGATTAACATTTGTTTGTATTTGATTGTATTTGTGAGTGTGATTCTTCTACTTGCATGTTCGTTAATTATGTTGTTACATACAGAATGCTTGTGTTTGCTTCACTCTTCAGTGGATTTCACATAATGTAACAGAGTAAATAACATTTGAAGTTTGTATCTGTTAACAACGAGAAGGTTTTGTGTGTCACTACCTGCACAGAATTATGTTATTTTAACATAAAAAATGTTTTATGTGTAAGTTTTCTATGGAAATATATATTCTTTGATCACAAATTCTTATCAACACCTCTTTTTCATTTTTACTTTTTTCATTCTTTCATTAGCTGCATTTTTTCCCTGCTTCCCTGCCACTACGTTAGTAGTGAATTTGTGATTAGTTTTTATTGATATCGTAGTGTACGTATGTATATATGCGTTAGTATGAATGTCAGTATTTAAAGCGAGTATTTTTTGATAATAAGAATAGTATATTTAAGAAAAAAATCAGTCTCTTCACTACCAGAAAGTAGAAGCTAGCGAAAGCTAATGTACAACATATTTTCTTTATTTTTAAATTTATGAATTTTATAGAGAAGTTTCCAACAGTAGTGAGCTACAACAACAAAATTTATTTTTATATAATTTTAATTAATTGAATTTTTGGCTGAACATGCAGCTGTTTCGAGTATTGAGTATAATTCTTGTAATATTTCGGTAATAATTTTTTAAACTGCAAGTACCAGGAATCGAACTCGTGCCCTAACAAAAGTGAAGCTTAGAGTCAGCGCTCCTTAAACAACTTACCCATGTTTGACCGTGTTTAACTTTTATATTCGCACATTTTTCTGTAGTTTTGTTAGTTTGCTGCGAAAGTTTTATTAACAAATTTACTTGGTGTGTTTACATTAGAACGTAATCATAAACCAACTCTAGAATAATTGAATTAATTAATTATTAGTTATATTAGTTATAGAAAATAATGTCTCAAACAAGAGAATAACTTTACAATTATTTGTTTTTCATTAACATTTATTCAATTTTCATTCATTTTCACGTTCTTTTATAAAAATTTTGAAGTTATGTCTAAGTTATAACTGATATTTGCTCTATAAACCAACGCGTCAATAAAATTAAAAAGATATATAAACAATTCTATTACTAACTTGAACAAATTCCTTTCCGTCTTAAACGAAAACCGTTAGTAAGGCTCATTTTTAAAAAATACCAAAAGTAAACATAAGTTTATTTAATAGTAAAATTTTTTTTTTAATAATAAAAAATTTTTTTTTAAATGAAATGTTTCTTTTTATTTTGGAAAATTATTTTTTTTTTTATAATAAACCGTTTTTAAATGTATTTATTGACTTCAAACATCTAATAACATGACTTGTTTTAGTTTGTTGACCCAGACATTTTATAGTATGTCGATATAAGCCTTCTAGATGGGTTATTCATTATTAACATGATTTTCTTTTAAACAAAAATGCTTCTTTTTTTTAAAAGCTTGCAGCAATATAGTGTCAAATTAGCTGAATACGGGGGTTTTTGAACTTACCGATGCATGTAATTTGTCTATAAATTTCCCAACTGCAAAGATTTATAATAAGTCCTTGCTGTTAGTGAACTGTTCCTGTTCAATTCTGTTAACTTATGTCCAACCTTACTAGCTACTATAATGTCTGCCCTAGTCTATTCATTTCTCTGTCTAGTCTATTAATTTCTCTAAACAGTGGTATAAGTATATATATTAATGTCACAGCTACTGAATTATAGACACTACGGTTCAACGGAATTAAATTGCGCAAGCCGTTCACCATAAAAATTTATCATATTTTTATAAAATATCATATATACCCATTTAAACTTTATTCTCCCACCATTTAATAAAATTACACAAGTTTTTTTAATCTTCATGACTACAACCACAAACAATTTATCATTTATTTGCAATATTTGCACAATAATAACAAACTGTAACCCATTTTCTAAACACGCAGCCAATCACTTCAGTATACCTTCCATCTAAGTACCCTCTTCATCTTGGGAGTGTAGTATTTATAATTCGATAGCATATGCTATCATGCGCCACACCCAGCTTAACCAAGATTCTTGAATAGGATAGTCATGCTCATATTGGTATTCATTTCTTTCAAATATCAGTGGTTTCATCCGTTCCCAAAAGAAATTAGAGAAAACAAAAAGAGAACCTATAACGAAAACAATGAGATTCGTAGTTGCCAGCGCTTGGAAGATTACTACGATGCTATTTTCTGAACTTCCAATTCCATCGCCAACGCCATCGGCCAGTGTTACATTATTTCCCACAGGTACTTGAGACATTGTCCGTCAATACGTTTTTTTATTAACTAAGAATTTTCTAAAAATAAATTTAATATTTAATCCTGATGTACTTTTGTTAGTCTTTAGAGAAAAAATTAATTGGATATGAGAAATTATATTCTATATACCATAAAGCATATATTGAATATATAAAATATATAGCATAATGCATAATGAAAGTATATTGTACTTACGATATATGAAGTCAACGAAAATTTACGTCACTTTGGAGACTTGAATTTTAGACAAAAAACTGGTTAGATAAATACAAAAAAAATCTATGTTAATGAAAATTTGATAATGCTAAGTCAAGATTAAATATAATGAGTATGAATATATATTTACTTACTTTCTATTATTTGAAGACGAATCAGTACAGTTAAATAGAATAAATAAGTAAGATCTTACATCGAAACTTAACCTCAAGATCAAACCTAACAAAATCAGCAAAATTTTAAAATTAAATAAATTAAAAATAATTATTTGACAGTTTGCTTTAAGAGTTTGCTTTAATTTTTACTTAAAAGAGCTAAATTATAGCCCGTGTTAGACAGACAGTCATGGTCACATCAAATGTGATATTGTGGATATTGTGGATAATTTAAAAAATGGCGTATGGAAGAAACAGAAAGACTTTATTATCAATTTGGTCACGCTGGTCAAAACAATGTTGTTCAGAGATAAATATCAGAATTTTCTCCTATAATTCTGATATATATCCATATCCAAAGGCACAAAAATTATATCAAAATAGTTAAAGTATATAATTGACAATATGATTTTCTGATATGATTTTCTGTAAAATTGCCATGTCCTTTTGTCGTATGTATGACTGTCTGTAAAATATGGCCCTTAGGCATACATGATTAATATATCCTTCATCGTATTGGTAAATATGAATATGAAATATGAATGAGGTTCTTACTTCTTGTTATTCACAAATATAGTATTTAGAAAGATGTATGTCTCCAAAAAGCAAAAACAATGTTTAATATTGCCAACATCGTCGTCATTATCATATAACCCATCTTAATGTAATTAAGACCTCTTAAGATAGTAAAGAAACCACTTCCATACGTTTTGTTAAAAATATTAACTGGTAAAAGATTAAGTTTAATTTTAGAAAAAAAAAATTTTGATTTATTAAATAATTACTTGAAATGACATAAGCATAACTTTCTCAGTATTACGTAGATTAGGTACTATACATAAAAAAGAATATATAAATCATGCAACAAATAATGCCTCTGCAAATAGAATAGTATTGAATTTTAAAAAATAAAAAAACATAATTAATTAATTCAATTATTCTACAGATGGTTTATGATTTAGTTTTAATATAAACACAGCAAGTGCATTTGTTAACAAAACTGCAGAAAAATGTGCGAACATAAAATTTTAGTACGGCTTTGGATCAGTTGGTTAAGGAGCGCTGACTCTAACCTCCAATTCTGGCAGAGCACGAGTTCGATTCCTAGTACTTGCAGTCTCAACAAAAAAAAAAAAATTATTTACGAATACTTAAATACAAGTATTATTTACAAGACCACTGATGATGGATATTTGCCCATACTCGAAATAGCTGTATGGTCAGTCAAAAATTCAATTAATTAAAATAATATAAAAATGAATTTTTGTTCTTGTAGTTCACTACTTTTCGAAAACCTCTTTATTATTATTTTTATTGATCTCGCTAATTGATTTCCTTATATCACCTATTATTAAACCAACTTTTTTTTTTTTTAAATTAATACTCACAAAATATATGTACACACACATACACATTGAACCAAACCAAAATTGCACAATCTTTTCGAAAATTTATTAAAAGGATATGCAAATATGAACCAAAAAAGTGCAAAGTGTCTTGCTAAACCCATTAGCAGAAGCAGTCCTTATCTAGAAGTACACTAAACGATAGCAAAAACCACAGTTGCACATTACCATGCCAACTTGACTGATGCTACTATTGCTTGTGCAGCAATCCCGTCGTCCTGTACGTTCGCTGCTATCGTTGCACAACAGAAACTTCAGAGTTGCTTTCCAACTTGCAACATGTGTTCAACGTCCCGTCCCTACTTATCTGACACTGTACACTTGTAACTGACTGTGTATTTAATTGTAATTAGAATAAGCTGTTGTTACTGCTTGAACACACTAACAGTCAAGCACACAGGCACACAATCATACACACTCACAAACAAAAATAGTAGTATTTTTCACACTGTTTCAGAGTTGTATTCGTCCGTATCAACATTCAACTTAACAACACATAATTTCGTGTTAAGCTGAGGTTTCGCCCTAAGCAACTTTTGTCGACAATAAGTACTTTTCACTATAAAAATTTGTACAAAAAAACAAAAAAACAAAGAGAAAAAAACAAATAAAGAGAAAAAACAAAAAGCCAAGAGTAACAATAACAAACAAAGTATAATAGTAAGGAATGTGGAAAACGTTTAAGTGCCAAAAGGAATATTTGCATAAATAAGTGTACAGGATACGCGAGCGTAAAGTTAAAAGAAAGAAAGAATGAAGTGAAAAAACTGGCATAAATAGCCACAAAGTATGTAATTAACATTTTATTTTTTTTTATTTTCCATTTTTTTCACTGTGTATGTGTAAATGTGCCAGCTACAGTAAAGCAAAATGCCGCAGCAGTGTAAACACTTAAAAGTAACTACTTTATTTTAATTGAAAAAAAATTTCCTCCCACTACACACACAAATACTCTTTACTTTTTCTCTCACATATACACACACTTGTAAATAATAATACACGTGTGTACGTGCTGACTCATATGTGTACTATATTATATATATACAAATATTTATATATATTCTTAACAATATTTTATTTACATTTTTAATTTTTTTTTTTTTTTATTGTTTTCTACTTCAACTTATTCCGCCGGTATTTTCTTTTTTTGTTTTTTAAGTTTGTTTGATCCTTAAATATTTTCAGGAAATTCGTTTTTGCCTGCAAGTTTTATCTTTGAAATTTTAGTTTTTCATATATTATCTTGAATTTTTTAATTTACCACATGTTTAAAGTAATATTGACAATATTGAATTTTTGTTTGTAATGCAAGCAGAAGCACCTCCTTCCTTTCAATAATATTTTGTCTGAAGATATATTCAGTGTACGCACACAGAGGTGTAGTATAATATACTAAGAAGAACTTAGAACAACTTATCGGTTTTAAGGAATAATTTCGATAACTTCAATTAAGGGGCAAGATAAACAAATGAATGTTAATTTAAGTTATTAAATGCTATAGTTACTAATTTATTAATTGCTTAAATGAAGATTAAATTCCTCATCATTTCAATTCATTACTATGTTGAGGCTAGTTGAGTCAATGCACTTGAGCACTTTTACGCTCTATTAACAGCGAGGTTTCTTCATAACCCCTCTTTATCACTTCATCAGACTAAGCAATAATTGACTTCAGATCTGCATACCTCCCCAAGGAGCCTGTAATCATTCTGAGATTTGATAACGCGGTATTAGTAATCCAGTCGGTTTTCGTTAATAGTTTCAGGGCTCTATTCTTTGTTTATTTTTTGATTAGATCAATCTTGAGGTTCCTGGGGATGTCACTCATCCTAATGTACCATGGTGCTTTGAAAAGTCTTCGCAGAGCCTGGCTTTGTGCAATTTCTGGCTGGCGTATAGTGTTTGAGGCCTTGCTGAACGCTACACTACCATATAAAAGTGATGGTGGAATTAATTGATTATATAACAGCTTCCGGTTCTTAGTATTGAGATTTTCATTTTTAAATAACGGTTGGAGGCGATGAAGAATTTTGGCAAAGCTAATTTTCTTCAATTGAACATATTTAAGCCATGTGAATCATTTGTCCACCGTGATGCCTAGAAATTTTATGCCATACTCCCAGTTTGTTACCATATGTTTTCTCCCACTATCACTCTCTATGGGTTCTGTCTCCACTTATGCGTAATAAACAGAGTCTTAGTATTTTCATGTCATATCAAAGTGGATTTGAACTGTTTTGTATTTTCCACTCAAGAAAATACTTCCAAGAAGTATTCAAACACTGAACTCTTTTTGTGGCAGGCTTATATAAATAATTTAAAACGTTACTATGGTTGTTCTTCGACCTGTAACGCTATTGGGATTGTAAGCTAATATTTGTTCAATAAAGAATTGCCAGATGCAGCTTACTATTTAAAAGTAATATGTAAAACTTGGTATTTTAGGAATATTTGTAAAGTCGCAGGTGTTTTAAGTTTTTGCAGTTTTTTCTTTATTTTAAATGTAAGGTAAATATTTACATATCTGTATGGGAATGTGAAATTTAACAATAACTAAAACTTTTCAGTCTTTTGAGAAGGAAAGAGGAACTTTGCTATGAAATTAGCTCCAACTTCAATTTAGTATCACAAACTTCTAAATAAATGGAATGCAAAAATGTTAAGGAAAAGAAACAGTTTAGAGGAATAAAAAAATCTTTTACTGTTTAAATAATACACCTGTTCACACAATACATTTTTGTTAGATTTATCGCTTCCAACTCTCCGTATGTTCTCAGAACTCAATAGATTATTTCATGTACGAGCATGACTATTTTCTTCAAGTAATTTGGTGTGAGTGAGTAATGGGTAACGTAGAGACGTATTGCTACCACTATGGAATAATAAGACACATAAATAGGAGAATCATCGAATTAGATGTTTTGAAATTAAACAGATTTTATAGGTATATATTATTTTTATCTATTTTAAATTTAATATATATTCTATCCAATAATGTACTGACATTTTTCAATTTTTTGACAAATAGAAGATTTAAGGTATGATAATTTACAATTTAAGTAGTTCTTTCCGTGAAAGAAATCTTCTTTTTTAAATTAGAATTTTATTATAAAATCTCGGACATCGTTTACCTTTTCAGCCTCGTCAAAATTTTGAAAGGCGACATCAAATTCGAAGCAAGAGTATTAGAATACATTTGTATGCGTTCATGGTATTTTCTGACTACCTTTTTTACTTCATCTTTTACCAGAATTATCCTAAGGTCCCGATGAATTTGAGTATAAGTTATATACCATAGAGCGTTTACCATTTTTCCATTAAGAGTTTCAGATTAAAGTCTTTGAAAAATTTCAATGTTAGATGTTGGGGCTGTACCCCATAGTTAAATGCCATAGGTCCATGTTGGTTTAAGCACAGTTTTGTATAAAATAAGTACCGTAGTAGGCAAAACATTTTTCGATATGGTATCCTAAGTGATTTTCTACTGTTAAAAATATGTGTTTTCCATGTCAGACGTCTATTCAAATGCAGACCCAAATATATTGCGTGTTTGATTGTGGAATTATTATATAATTAAGTCTAATTTCGGATAATGTGTCAATGTGATATGAGTAGATTTTATTTTATTTGCTTGCATGCGTCAGTGCTTCAACGATT